TTGCATTTTTCTGCTTAGTTTTCATATTTTACGTTTAACTGTTCATTACTGTATGTGAATGTCTTGTTCTGCACTGATCCGAATTCTGAGCATTATTTTGATATATGTACACACAGAGAATCCTGCTTTACAGTAAAGTGTAATTGAAAAAAGCAGCAACATTGCTTTTTCAAACAAAATTTTGAATTCATTTTGTACGCAGCTAAAAGTTCGACACACTTTAGTTTTCAAATGCGGTTTTTAGTTTGCAGTGAGATGTCACGTCTACGAGAATGTCATATTTCTTTGAAATGATTCCGGATAATTTTTTATTTACTCTGAACACATTCGGTACCCGTTCAAAGCACTTTCTCTTGAACTGTTGGAAAACAAAATTCAAAGGAGTTTCTCACATCTTCGAGATGGCCCGGAAATTTTATCTGTATTTTTCCTTGAACCATGATTCATTTTCTTCCAAGAAGGTTTCTGTAAGACAGATGCAGTCATTATGTTCCTTTCTCAAGTGCTCGATCTCTATATAAGTTTTATCTTAAAGTGGCTTTTGTATCAAACACTGCAGCATTTCTACCTAGCAATATCAGACTTTTTTTTTTCTTATTTTGCTACAAATTTCGGCCAATACAGCGGTATGTTCAGTTAAAAATGTTATTGTTATGATTCAATCCTGGCAAAAGGGCATTCTGCATGGCAGGGTTCCGTGCTTTTCTCCATGCCAGTTTCCCTTAGAAAGTCCTTCACAATGGCACCCCTTCCCATACGTGAGATAAATTTTCAGTAAAAAGACACATAAAATGTATGAGTTATTTGTCTTAATGCAGTATGAATTATTAGAATTGTAGTCACACAATTTTTGGAATTGTAGTCACACTGTCATTTTTGCTTTGATAAGTATGTTGTACAACATATTTTGTTGGTATTACACAATACTATAATTGAGTATGATATGATATCTTACAAAGCCCCGAATATATCTGAAAATACGAGGAACAAAATAATACTTATTCCAGAATGGTAAACAGTGGTTGTGTCACTTTCTGTTAATTATCTAATCAATCTATATTATCAACTAACTCCAACTTCTGCTCTATGCCGAAATTAGCATGAAAAGTTCACGTTGTGTTCAGGATGGCGGAACTTCGTGTCCCTTAGAAGGGCGCTTCAAGTAGGATGCGCGCAGCACAGGAGGATAGGATAGAAGATGGCGAAGGGAAAAAAACTGTTACCTTGATACTTGATATCAAGGTAACAAACAGTTTTCCCCCTAATAGATAATTTATCCACCTAATTATTTAGATAATTGTTGCAATCGTTTGAGAGGTTGAGACCTTGCCAACCAAAAATGGCATTTGAGTGTTTGCCATCAAAGTCTGAGCTCGAATGAACACTCGAACGCCAAGTTTTCGGCTTGATCCGTTTTGTGCACGCTCTGTGAGGTTTTCACTAACCTGATTGCGCAACTTTTGGTCTCGTTCATTCACTCTCCCGACACTCTTGTAAGTTCAGGTTGGGATTCTAATATTCCTCTTTTCTGTCTCTCCGAGTGGAATGCGACCGTATGTTCTATGGTAATTATTGCTCATCTGGAAGAGTACTATCACCCCTCTTAATTTGTAAAATCAATTTAGAATCACCCCTGTATATTTACCCCTCCCCCCCGGGGTTGACTCAGGCGAACGCCTGGGAAGTACTGGCTAGGATCTGTACCTAGGCAGTCTCAACCACGGGGGTATACAAATTATCTTCACAGGACTAGAACCCGAGTATTGTACTCAGGTTGGTTCAGGCTTGGCAGGGACCGTACTGGTACTGTCGTGTCTGTTCCTTCGGCTGTGGTGGAGCTACATAGTACATTTGTCGACTGAGTTCCCGGGGGTTTGACCCCATTCAGTTTTCGTGGCGGGGACTGACAAAGCGGACAGAGCACCTTAATACAATGTGGTTTTGCCGATGGAGTGGTGCCCGGAGGCAAGGTGACAGCGTTTTAAAATTAGCAACGAAGCGTTCTGGCAATGCTTAGTAAAAGCCGGACGGGGACTGCGGGGGTTGCGCCCGCGAGAACGAAAGTCCCACGGGTGTTGGATATTTCAAACTCTTTATGGGTCCCGTATAATGAGGACCTCGGTGGGAGGTCCTTCACCCGGTGTGTCTGTATATTTCCTCATTCCCCCCCGGGGTTTGACTCTGGCGAATGCCTGGGAAGTACTGGTTAGGATCTGTATCTAGGCAGTCTCAACCACGGGGGTATATAATTTGGCTTCACATGTCTAGAAAGTATTGTACTCAGGTAGATTCAGGCTTGGCAGGGACCGTACTGGTAGTGTCGTATCTGTTCCTTCGGCTGCGGTGGAGCTAGATCGGAGATCGTTGACCGAATCCCCGGGGGTTTGACCCCATTCAGTTCTCGTGACGAGGACTGACAGAGTGGACAGAGCACTCATATCTACGATTGTTTCGCCAATGGAGTGGTGGCTGGAGGCAAATTAACTAAGTTCATTTTCATAGCTATGCTTTGTTCTGCCCAATGCTTTGTATAAAGCCGAGTGGGGGTTGCGCCCTCGAGGATGAGGTCCCTTGGACCATAGATATCTCAACTCTGTATGGGTCCGCAAGTCGGACCTGGGCTGGAGATCTATGTTGTCTGGTGTGTCTGTATATTTCCCCAAAATGGCAAGCACTAACCATTATCAACACCTATTCATAATAATGGAGGCACCTAACAGGTAGGCTATGGCAGACGTGACAAAAGGCCATTCCCCACTTACCCAATTCCTATGTTCCCAATTCCTCTAGGTGACACAGTCAAGCAACATTTCTACCTGAAGCGTCCTTAGTGACAATTAACAGCCGGATAACAACATGCTTAATTCATGCTATTAACGGCATATAGCGGAACATGGAAAGGTGGGCTATCCTTGCTTCCTGTGAAGGGACAGACACTTTACGTCCATGCCTTCTCCGGGATTTGAACCCGGCCCTTCGGTACAGCAGTCAGAGCAAAGAATATGTGTATAAAGAAGGAAAGCTTCCATATACATAATGTAAACAAGTCTGACTACTGCGCCGCTATATCGCAGAAGAACAAATTCTCGTCGCCAAATCGCTAGGTGTGCAGGAAATCGAGAAATACGCTACAAATTCAAAGAATTTTTAGGATTCATTTTTTGACGAAATTTTTGACGATAATTTAAACTCTGATTTTCGTAGATTTATTCTCAGTCAAAATAAAGTCTCCAATAATTAATCTACTTGCTCTGATTTAATTTACCTTGATCTGATTTACCTTGATACCTTGGGGAAAAATGGTATCACAGAACTCTTGATGAACATGAGTTTCGACCTTCGCCTCCGACTCGACAACAATTTCGCGCGTGCGAGTAAGGTATTAAGGACAGATTCATTTGGAAACATGTTCGACAGTCGTTTCGCGCATGGGCAAAATGATATGAAGGCTGAATGGATAGGCCCTCTGTTTCCCTCTGCGGTGTTTGGGATCTACTCCTATTTCGACGAAGCTTTTGATCTTAACGTACATATTCTTTGCTCAGAGTCACTAACCACTTTCCGTCTGGGCGGCCTGTTTTTGTATATAAATATGAGCATTTAACCGAGTAAGTGTATTGGCAATTAAATAAAAATACCTTCAACACTTTTTTATTAGTTTTGTTAATTTATAATTTAATAACAACACAGCTCAGAAACTAAATGCTTACTGTTTTAAGAAATAACTTTGAAAAAGATGTTTCAGTTAACGTATAGGCCATACTTGTTTTTAAAATTCGAATTCATTTTTTAAAATTCCTGCTATTAGTTCACACTCTCTCTATATCTTGTGCAAATTTTCAATTGTTAATAAAATGAGTTTATTCACCCATTCAAGTTCAAACACATTTTTTTAAAACTTGCAGTGAATGTGTTAATACAGTTTTTTTAACATATTAAAGTAAATTCCTACTTATTTATTCCTGTTTATCGAAACTAAAGATATGCTGTTTTTTTTAAATATATAAGACTTACAAATAATGACCGTTTATTAGGAATTCTTGCGTGCTGTAAAAATTAATTGTATAACAACTTATAACTGTGATAAATGGGATTGCAATATTTAACAAAAATAAGTGGCAACAGTAAAACACAGTTCTAAAGATTTTTAAAGTGTATGGAATTACAGAATTGTAGTTTTATAGAGTTGGATGAAGCAGATGTAATGTCCCATTATGTAACCACAATTCTCCCCACATTTCTATGTTAACGTGATAATAATATACATGTTTAAATTATAACCTTTGAAAATGTTCCTTGCTTCACAAATGGAGAATGCGAAAGAAACTACAACACAACGCGAGCGACGATTGCAAAAAGATAAACATAAGCGCCAAAAAAAGCATCCTACGAAAGCTCTTCGTAGCCCGGGTCAAGCATACGTCGCTTTGAGTCGTGTAGATGGAATATTAATTGAAGAACTGGACTGCTCGAAACTCACCGGAAAGGTTCCTTGCACTAATGAAGCATTACAAGAGATGGATAGAATGAGAAATTACAGACCACCATCAGCTTCATAAATTAGAAACGAAAAAATGTTAATAATGTTTATAAAAAGTAACTTAAATAAAATTTTTCTTTGTTCACCTAAGTAGGACTTGATTTTTTTAAAAAAAATATTACTTGTTTATTTTTAACTTACTACTACAAATTAATGCTTTTTATAACTTCTTGAAAAACAATTGAATTTTAACTATGCTTTTTTATGCATGGTTTTTACATATTTTTTAATATTTTCTCTCATTGTAAATATACATAAAAACAAAAAATTTCGTTTGCCTCATGCAATATTACATGAATATTTACAGTGAAACGGTATTTCACTTGAAGGGCTTTTGAAGTGTTATATTTTAAGGAGTATGCGTGTTATTTGTCTATATTTTCCTTACTCATAATTGAAAAGGGTGCTTAAAGGATAATTTACTCATTTGATAACAAAACAATAAACAAAAGAAACATGCTTGTTTTAAATTTTACATTTTATTTCAAATGCGCATGATTGTCAAGTTTTTCCCAGAAGAGACTCCATTTCTAGTCTACAGAAACCTGTATTTACATATTTAATAACATATCACCCATGCTTAAATAAAATAGCAAAACTCAAAAATTTAGTTCCACAGTAAAAATTTTAAAATTTTAATGAATGATATAAATTTTGATGTCTACTTATACAATTTACGCTCATACAATGTTTATACAATTTTTAGAGAAATATAATTGATGAGTGTTTTATTTCAAGTAAGGCAACTAAAGTTACCTTAAAAAAAACAAAACTAAAATTTAAAAAAAAGTGTAGGTTTCGCGTAAAAAAAAAAAAAAAAAAATTCAGTCACAGAATTTAATCTAATGGAATTTTATAAAAATATATGAGAACATTCCGCAAGAGAAGAAGAAGAAGAATGACCTTGCTTGTTTGCATTAGCTGTACATAAGTCACGTGATCTCCGAAGTCATATGCATTGATTGTTTACAAAAGGTATACATAAGTCACGTGATCTCCGAGGTCATATGTATTGATTGTTTACAAAAGGTATACATAAGTCACGTGATCTCCGAGGTCATCGGAATGTATCTCATTCAGTTTCATTTTTTCAACTTTTGAATTATCTTTATTATATAACAATGAAAAAGAATTGTATTAAACGTTTTAAAATGCAGGACTTGAATAAAACGATGGAACTGTGAGTAAATACGGTGAAACCTCCCTAAGAGACCACTCTTGGTTTCAAACTGTTTTGTCTTTTGCGAAGGTGGTCGCTTTCGAAATTTGATATTCACTACCGGTATTTATTTATTTTCACAAAAATACTGGTCACTTTCAGAGGTGGTCGCTTCAGAGAAACTGTCCTCATAAGAATTTTCACTATATTAAAAAAATGAACTCCATTGATGAAAGTATTTTCATCATGTTTCTCTAAATTAAAATGACTAGATAATTCGGGTGATTTTATGAAAAATTAATGAAATTTTTCATTCTTTCTCTTTTACAAAAATTAATTAAAATTGATTAAAATTTGTAGCTAAAATTTAAGTACCACCCTTGATTTAAACAATAAAGAATTAACATCGTTTGAACTAATATCAGTTTTATTTTAATAAAATAATATTCCTTAAATTAATGAGTTCCGAAGACGCACACACATAGATACACATACATATTTAAACGTTTTTTTTAACATAGTCTGTCAGTCTCCAAGCTATTTGAAATATAAGAAAATATGTTATGTGACTATAATTAGTGGCATGCAAGTTCATTTGTATGAACTGACGGGCTTAGCAATAAAGGGAAATACATGTTGATATTATGCATAATTTTTATGAACATTTTTCTTCATTTAAATATTTCGTATATGCTAATTTTAAACCAATAAGTATTCATATGTTCCAAAAAAATGTTAATATTTTTAGCCAGATTCAAAAATGTTTTCATAAAAATTAATTCTTTTTCATGGTACAAATATTTTCAAAGAAATTTGCTGCCATGTGTGGAAACTTCAAGTAATTTACAAACACGTAAATTGAGCAACATCCAAGGGATTACACCAGTTAAGGGCCACCTAAAACATCCCAGAACTATTTAAAAATTTTCTAACGCTACTATTACTGTCATACTTTGAATTCTTCTAGCAAGATACTTCTCAAGAAAGTCTCAAAAATAGAATTTAATCCTTTGAGTCACTTGTTTAATGCACAAAATAGTTGCGTTTACGCCAGTCTATCACTGGATGGCACTGAAACCTACACATAACTTGTTGTACAATACACTTATGTCCTAGATTTTGGATGACACACGTCCAGTTACAAATCATCAAGGAAGACGAGGCTCGGCCTGTTGACAAAAAGGCACTTTCGAACGGCATCGAGAACTTTTTCCACTCTTCGGTCCAAGGCATTCAAGTGGGCATCTGTGAGTACGGGTGCAACTGGATCGTTAGCCATACTCTGCCGCATTAGTTCGCTTAAGCGAGCAGGACCATTATGGAATGTAAAAAGACGGTTGAAGGTTGATAATCGAATCACACAGCATTGGTAGAGAGGCAGAAGAATGGTGATTTCATCATGGTAAGCACGACCAAATCTGAAATGGAAGAAAGTGCTATATAAATTTATACTTTAAAGCGTAATAACTGAAACAATACATCACATTAATGCTGGAATCAAACACTAAAGTCCAAGCTGTTTCACTCTTTCTATATTCCAAAACAATTTTTCTTTTATTGAATTTTTACCTGAATTGGCAATCTTTCCCCCCCCTCTTCTTGGTTTACAAGGATATTTTTGGCATTCTCGCAACAGTTCACCTACCAGAACGTATCTATAACAATAGATTACCTACCTTGTATTTGCCGTTGGTTATGAATATGAATAACGTATTTGGCTTGTATTGGACAAAGAGATGATATTTTTAGTTGAATGGCGAGACAGGCGAACGCTACTTCCAATTATACAAATAGATGAGGCTAGAAATAATTATTTACAAAGAGAAGTGGCTAGCTTACGGGACTATTGACCAGCATGGATGCATCCATCTGATAATAAATCATTGATGAATTTTGTTGCTTCTGCTGATGGTACTAATTGTAGGGAATATGAGAGAAAGAAACCAGCAATGTTTGCTCTGCCACCTTCCTCAGTTGTGCTAGCTATTTCTCAACAATGTGGAATAATTTATGACCATGTTGAGAGATATCAGGATAGTGTTTCTGTGAATAAAAAATAGGAATGACCACCTACGTTGTTTTATATATGATTCTAATAGTAAAACAATGACTATCGGCAAATGTGACATAGGACTTCTTCAAATAACAGATGCCGAATACGATCGCTTGACCTGCTGTTCTGATGTATATGCTACCGTCAAAGTATGAAACGCCGGCATTCGATTCAATGTCTTGGAACTGTATATAATGCCACATGTTTTTTGGCAAAGTATGAAATATGAGAATTATTACATACGCATTGTATATAGTGTTTAGGCATTCTATAGAATGACAAATGCTTTTTAGGCAAAGTATGAAACATGAGAATTATTACATACTGTACATAAGCATTGTATGTAGTGTCTAGGCATTCTATAGAATGACAAATGCTTTTTAGGCAAAGTATGAAACATGAGAATTATTACATACTTTATATAAGCATTGTATGTAGTGTCTAGGCATCCTATAGAATGACAAATGCTTTTTAGGCAAAGTATGAAATATGAGAATTATTACATACTTTACATAAGCATTGTATGTAGTGTCTAGGCATTCTATAGAATGACAAATGCTTTTTAGGCAAAGTATGAAACATGAGAATTATTACATACTTTACATAAGCATTGTATGTAGTGTCTAGGCATTTTATAGAATGACAAATGCTTTTTAGGCAAAGTATGAAACATGAGAATTATTACATACTTTACATAAGCATTGTATGTAGTGTCTAGGCATTCTATAGAATGACAAATTCGTTTTTTGGGCAAAGTATGAAATATGAGAATTATTACATACTTTCTGTTAGGCACTGCATATAGTGTCTAGGTATTCTATAGAATGATAAATTCTGTTTAGGCAAAGTATGGAAAAAAGGTTATGGTGAGGCTATTATTTAAAAGACGTTTCAACCTTAAAACTGCAAATGGTACTTTGAAAAATTAATGAAAGAGTGCCATTAAAAAACTGTTAATCGAAATATGTAAAATAAAATAGTGAGATGATCTTGATACAACATAATAAATTTTTATTTTCTATCTGGTTGAAACTAGGAATCAGTAAGATCTACCTGACAACGGAGATTGCATTGCCCTTTTTAATCCCTTTCTGTTTTATCGCACGGCTCACAAAGACGGTTGTGCAGTTCAATATCGTTACGTCTAACGTTTTTGTATTCGGCTGAAAGTTTTTTTAACATTCTGTCACTTCGTTGGTGTACTCAAATCAGTCTTTATGAAATACGGGAAATAACTCAGCGTCCGTGACTGCCTTTGAAATGTATAGACACTATATACTGTTTTGTACTAGACACTATATACTGTTTTGTACTGAAGTTGTCTTTAACAGAATAAGTAAATGTACTTGTTTTCCACAAACATCACATGCTGGCAGTTCAGCAGCCAGTAGTCCCGTGGTTCCTTCTTAGTAGTAATTTTGGCTTTTTTACATCATTTTATTGATGCAGATTCGGTTCTTCGAAACGAATCGGAAGTGTATTAGCCGAGGTGTTTAGTGTTTCAAGAGGTACTGTATCGAAGATTTATTCCGCATATTTGAAAAGCGGAAAAACATCATCTGCTAAATCACAGCGCGGACGAAAGTGTGTCCTGAGTGATCGTGACAGACGATCATTAAGGCTAATTGTGACGAAAAATAAGAAGACCACAGCTGCAAACCCTGTGAGTACCAAAACAATTAGAAGGGAGCTTCATAAACAGGGAATTGCTGGCCGTGCTGCAATTGAGAAGCCACTCATCAGTGATGCTAATGCCCGTAACAGGAAAAGGTGGGTGTTTAAGTCATAAAGCCTGGACTATAGAGCAGTGGAAGCGAGTTAATATGGTCTGACGAGTCTTCTTTCACATTGTTTTCCCACTTCTGGCCGAGTTTACGTCTGGAGAAACGCCATCTCAAGCCTATAATACAGACTGCTTGTTGCCAAGAGTGAAACATGGCGGGGGTTCTGTTATGGTTTGGGCAGCCATATCGTGGTTCTCTGCTAGCCCCATGATAACTGTGTCAGGGCACATGACTGCCAAGACTTATGTGAACATTTTGGCCGATCAAGTTCATCCCATGGTACAAACTTTGTTCCCCGATGGTGATGGTGTCTTCCAAGACGACACGACAAAGCCCCTGTTCACACAGCTCACATTGTCCAGGACTGGTTTTCTGAGCACGAAGATGAGTTTTCCCATCTCCCCTGGCCACCACAGTCACCAGACCTGAATATTATCGAACCTTTGTGGTCTACATTGGAACGAAAAGTGCGTTCTCGTTATCCACCGCCAACATCGTTATCTGAACTTGCCACCGTTTTGCAGAAGAATGGGTATAATATTCCCTTGGCAAACATACAGGAACTGTATTTATCCATTCCGAGAAGACTGCAAGCTGTTTTAGATGCCAACGGGTTTCCTACACGATATTAAGCAAAGAAACATGTTTTTTTAAAGGTGTTTCCATATTTTTGTCCAACCCCTGTACATTACACCTAGACGGTGGGAAATTACATAGCAAGCACGGTCGGAAACGCTTTCCTGGCGCGGTAGTGACGTCACAAAACAGAAAAAAGGAAGGACACAAACAGTGAGAGAAAACATGTTTTATTATGTTTAGTTCAGCAGACACCTCCAAATAAGAAGAACGATCGTCTTTAAAGAATGTGTTCGAAATTACGACCCCGGAACGTGAAGCAGGCCTCACTTCTCTGGCGCATGGAAGATCTGCACCACGAATGGAAGATCGTATGGAAGATGCATGACGCACGGTTCCTGCATCACGGTGCTGGTCGTAATTCGAAACACCTTTTTTGTTGATGATCGTTGTCTCTTTATGTTTTTTTTTTGGTACTCCGAACAATAAACATGTTTTCTCACCCCGTTCGTGTCCTTTCTTTGTTGACGTTTGTGTCGTCCCTACCGCGCCAGGAAAGCGTTTCCAACCCAGCATTCATATTTGATTTCCCATCGTCTAGGTGTACTCTGTCTCTTCCGAAATTTTGTCACCGCTGTAAAATAATCTGTTATAATTATAAATCTTCTGATAATGCAATCTCTGCCTTTTTCAGGAAGCTATTCCTCTGATCACAAAGGCCAAATACTTAGGAATTATTTTGAACCAAAGGCTCACATGGTCTAACCACATTAATAGTGTCAAGAGCAAAGCCATGGGCATAATATGCAGATTTCTCCCGGTCATTGGAAAATATTCAAATCTTAGCTTGCGTACTAAAAACATATATATACCACTTCCATTCGACCGATACTTTGTTATGCTACTCCTGCTGGCAACACGGTCACTCAAACTCAACTGCATCAATTACAAGTAGTGCAAAACAAATTTCTGCGCATTATTACTGATTCACACTATCTTATGCGCAATCAACATTTAAACAGAGACTTAAAACTTGAGACGATTCCAGATTACATCAGAAGATCTAATGAAAACTTCTTCAACAAAGCTGTGCAATGTGAGTTTGTTAATTACTCCCAAGTCTTTAATTATGAAATACTCTTCGAAGCGTCAGACCACTTCCAGCTCACACTTCATGGGAGGAGAGGACAACTTTTTCACTTAGCTCCTCAATTGGTAGCTGTTTATACTTCCAATGCATCTGATTTTGATTGAAATTCTTCTGTACCTTGAATATTATTCTTGAAGATTGATGAAACTAATGCTGTGAGATTTTTCGCATGGTGACGATATAGTAGTGTTGTAAATAGGTTGCTTAGGTTGTTGTTGAGTTGCTGTAGTGTATTGCGTTGAATAGTTGTATTAAAATTGTGTTGTATAGTTGTATTGTATTGTGTTGTATTTAGCACTATTGATTGAGGTGGCTTAGTTGTATTTGAATGTGTCATTGGAACTATTGCTGTAGTGTATTTTTGTATTTTGTATGGGCGCAGCCCCCCCAGCCGATTTAAATCGGCCACATGGCCAAAATGGGACAGGCCCGTCCAACACAAAAACGAGAAGCCACCGAGCCGGCCGTGCTCAAAATTTACACAAGGAAAACCACAATTCAAAATTTACCTGAAAAGACTTAATATTTAAACAACCGAGAAACCAAAGCCCGAGACCCGAGTAACAAAAAAGGTTAAAAAAGGAAACATAACAAACACAAAATTACGAGAGCAAATTGTTGCAAGCCTAAGTTAAAACAAAAATCCATCATTCACACAAAAATGAAACTGAGGAAAATAATAAAATCCACAAAGTTAGTAATAACATGAAAACAGACACAAAACAACACAGAACCATTCATACAAAACATAAAAAGAACTTCTTGTAAAATCTTGATCAGCCTTCGAATGAGCACAAAATTATTGAATAGGTCAGAAGATCTTAACTCTCAATTCCGATCTTTTCTTTATTGCCATTAATAATTTTCATTATTTCTTGAGCAAAATCTTTAAATCTGTTACTATTTACGATCATTTCTTCAATCTTCTTGTCTCCATACTTAAGCCTGCTTAGTGTAGTGTATGCTTAAGCCTGTTTAGTTAGTGTAGCCTTATTGCTGTAGTGTATCTTTTCATATTGTTGTCATTGATTTGCATTGTCTTGGGTCCTCCTTGAAAGCTACGATCGCTCGTCACGTTTTGCGAACTTATCCGATTGGATTGTCTTGCTCCTTTTGGTACTTCTCTTCTTCCCATTTTCTTCGTTTTCTCATCTGAGATTTTCTCCACGTCGAGATTTTTTTATGTCAAGTGCCCTTGGGCTTTAATTCTGGAACCGGCAACATTGCTCTTCGCAGTAGCGGTCAATTATACAGTCTAAGTCTATTAAAGTACGTACGTATAATTTCTTTGTACTTATTGATTTATTTATATACTGTTCCCATTAGTGTAATTTAGTACGGTAATTTTAACAGTTTCTATGGTTTCGATCATGGTTCGCGGACAGTAGGTCACCCGTTGCGAGAATACTGGTACTTCTGAGTATTTAAAGATGGTAGTCAGCTCTCAAAGGAACTAAGTTTATGTAGTGCGACTACTTAGTAAAATAATGTATGTCTAAAACTCAACAGCACTTTACTGTAAAATATCGGAATGACCTGAGTTATTAGGACCACTATATGATAATACTTAAACGAAATAATATAAAATAGTATTTCTACATATAAAAGTTTGTCACTACGCTAATAAGCCCCAGAAAATATCTATGACCTAGGTTTGTATTAATTAGTATTGCTACAATCCTTAAAGAATCTCATAACATCAAAAATGTTAAAATAAATTGTGACACTTATATATTAACCGGACACAAATGATTGTCACTCCGTTTCTGCCTCCAATGAATATCCGGTACTTGCCGAAACTCTTGTAAGGATCTTAAGTTTTACTAACGTTTATTTTATTTTAAATCTTTACTATCACTTCTTATTTTCTACTTCCGGCCAGAATTATAAGCGTTAATGTATTTATGCAAAGTTTGTCTGGCGAACGCCAAGTACTTAAGTTGTGGCCTTTTTGCCAAGCGAGAGAGAGAGGAAGCAGTGAGTCGAAGCAGGCCGCTTACCTTAGAAGTTTTACGCAGTTGATGGTTGCCTTCCAGGCCAGAGGTTTTAATCCTCTTGATAAACTTTAAACGTATTGTAGTGTTCACAGTTCTCTGTACTACATACGGCTTCCTGTTAATATAAGGCCAATCTTCCACGTTATTATTTTAAAGTTAAATTAGAGTTTAATTTTATTTTTATACTTTTACGTTAGACCCCAAGTAGTGGGTCATTGTATTCCGAAGTACGGAAGTTATTGTAAATAGAGAAAAATAAAGGGTTTTGTATACCCTTCTTGTGTATCCTGTCTACTTCCCACAGTTATTGAACATAGCTTTAGTAAGCTCTCTGTTCCGAGTCAGGTCCTTGCATGTTCCCGAAGAAAGTAAGACGGAACATTGAACCTGATACTCTAATGAATGCATTTTTCATCATGAGTAAATATTCAAGTGAAAAAAGATTCATAAAAATATTCGGACTCTAGAAGTCTACACGGAGAAACTTCAACACGAAAGTGTTCTTTAGAAAAAGTTTGGTTTAAGAAATCCAAAGCGAATTATAAATTTAGTTTGATTGATCCAGAAATCGGCAGCTGAAACAACAGGACGTGGTTGCTTCTGTTTTAATACAACAAGGAGCACCGTATTTGGCGATCTATCCCATTTCTTCCTCCTCTGCATCAGGAAATTGTTTTTCGTTGGGTTAAATGAACAAGTACATAAATTAGTATTACTGGGTGGCCGAGCCCAAAGCAGATGGTATCTGCTATGACCGGTTTGGTTTATCTTGAGCCACCTGATATAAAACATAAATGATTTTGTAGTGTCCTTAGGGCTTCTGATGCTGGAGACGTGAAAAATGTGCAACGGGATTCGAATTCCGGACCTTTTGAATACGCGTCAAGTGTGCTTCCACAAAGACATGCGGGCAAGAGGAAGGAAATACCTTATAATTTCTTCCATGGGACACATCATAATATTAATTTAGAAGTCAAACAACAAAAATCAGCGTTATATTTTGAAATTTTCTCAGGACTACTTTCGATGGTTTTACCGAACCATCATCCTCAGCTGCAAAAGCACAAATGAACGAAGTAAGATATAATGATAAGATAAGAAACCCTCCACAGGAGATAAGCTACTGGCGCCATCTGTTGATGAAACCAGAACTAATAATTTCTTTAAAGCCTGAAGGCAAAGATGGATTGGAATTAGGGTCGTTAACTAGAATAGAAAGATTTTTTGAATGTGAAGTGCCTGTAGAAAATACAGTTCACCAATGGCAGATGTTTTTTGAATAATTTTGGCAGCAGAAAAATTGAAAGTGTGATTTTCGGACCAACAATGTTGGGCAACGGAAGACTTCTGTTTCCTTTTTTCTAACATATGCCTCATGCTCCTTAACGCGAAATTTTAAGGCTTTCTTACTTTGGCTAATGTAAATTAAACCACACTGGCAAGGAATCCTGTAAATAGCCCTGGAATTCATATACGGAATGGGGTCTTTAAGAATGGAACTCGGAATTTTATTGATGGGAGAATAAACGACTCGAAAGTTAAATTTCTGCAAAATACGTGCAACTTTCTAGCTAATTGATGGAAAGAAGGCAGTGACAACAGAATTTTTATAATCTCCTAAAACAAGAGTATGCCTTTTTGTGTGTCGAGATGAGAATTTTTTAACTGCTTGATTAATAACGTTGGGTGAAATATTATATCTTACTTCTTTCATTTGCGCTTTTGCAGCTGAGGATGATGGTTCGGTAAAACCATCAAAGCTGGTCCTGTGGAAATTTGAAAATATAATGCTTGTTGTTTGAATACTAAATTAATATTAGTTCGGCGTGTTATTGTATCTTACATCATAATATCTTTAGAAATGTTACGCATATAACTTTCCTTTTCAGGCTGTTTCTAAAGTAGCGTCTTATAACAGGAAATCCATTCTGAGCTGTCTCTTTGTAGGCATTCAAGAAGCTGGAACTTTTATATCAAAAACGATGCAAGGTAGACGGGAATTTTCAGTTGCAAAGTGTTAAAGCATTTTTTGTTCAGTTAGGAAAGGCGGGCTGCTTGCGCTCAACAACACGCAGACAATAAAATTTAAAGAACATTTAATGTGCGTAGCGCCGAAGCTGTGAGCATTGTTGAATTTGTGCAATTTAAGCGAAAGCAGATCGCGTGTACAGGAAAAAATAAAAGTTTCTTTCTGTATACGTACACAGCGATCTGTTTAAAGAATCAAACATTAACATCAAAGAACATCAAAGTTTAACATCAAAGAACTTCACAAATTTGACATCGCGCTCAGATTTGGCATTTTGCACATTAAATGATATATGTATTATAATCATTAAATATAAAATAGTTATTCTTTTCTTCAAGCTTTACTTGTCATTTGCGTTGCCGTCATCTAGTGAGATTTCGTTCCAACGCTTATTTTTAGCGCCAGCTAACAGAAAAATACTTAAAAATGTATATAAGTAACTTACCCTCTGCCATGGTCCCAATGTATAGGTGCACTATCATTGCCAAACACGTGCATTTCTTCGTAGTGATGCCGATCCATATTACCTAAGGAAAAAAAGTTTGCATTTTTATTAAATAAAATTATATTTTAGTCCTACAAACGCGTTTTGATGCTCAGTAAAATTTTAATATAGTAGCTTATAGAATGCATAGGATTATCTATTATCATTCACCTGAATTCACGGAACACTAATTAACGCGCAGGTAATGGGAACAAAGCCGATTTATCAAAGCTGATCTCATATACACTGGTGTACAAAACTTAAGCAACAGGTGTTCGTCTTTGAATAACTCCACGAGAAAACATCTGAGAGACATGAAATTCAGAATTAAGAGACAGCATTTTGTATATAAATGATCACGAAAGCATAATTGCGCTAAAAATGAATACAATGCATGCAGTGTGAAATCAAACAAAAATAGGCTTTATTGAACTCATAGTATCGTTATGCATGATTGTCTGTACAAGAGGAAGACCAAAAAGCAGATGTTCCTTACTATAAGATATGCCCTCCCGTTACTACAATGGTTGCTTCGAACGGTCTCTCCATACTCAGCACCAGATCTTGAGGTAAGAGTGCCCATTCCTCAATCAACATCTGTTTCAGTTGCTGGGTGTTCCCCGGAAGATGTAATTGTGCCACAAGGCATCTCCCCCAAAGAATCCAACACATGCTCTACGGGATTTAAATCAGGGGAGCACGCTGGCCAATCCATTCGAGTGATATCTTCCCTTTCCAGTAGCTTCTGAACAGCAGGAGTCTGGTGTGGCCGTGCATTGTTATCCATAAAAACGAAGTCTGCTCCAATGACACCTCGGAACAGACGCACATGGGGAAGGATCACCTCCTGACAATAGGCTATCTCCGGTTACAGAACTTCTGTCGAAAGCGTTGAGCTCTGTCCGCCCGTTCAACATAATGCCTCTCCAAACGAGATCTTCAGGACACCGTAACGGTGTCTTTCCATGACGTTACTGAGATTAAACCGTATTCCGACATCTCTCCAAATCAATTTGGGTTGAGAATCGCTTTTGGCACTAAAACGACTCTCATCCGTAAGGAGGATACAACTCCATTCATGAGATGTCCAGTTTTTGTGCTTCTTGCACCACTGTAAACGGTGACGCCGACGGCCAACTTCCAGAGGGATGCAGCGTTCAGGACTGCAGGCGAATAAGCCACCTTTGTGAAGGTGCCTGCACACAGTAAACCGCGACACTTGTCGCCCCGTTGGCTGTACACAGTTGTTGAACTATGGAGTTTGGTGACTGGTTTCGGGCTCTTTTCGCCTGCAGGACAATATATCGGTCATCCACTGCAGTTGTTTTCCTTGGGCGGCCACCACCAACCTTTCTAATAGCCTAGCCGTACCTATGGTTTGTAAGGCTTTCCAAGCGCGCGAAACGACACTTTTGTTGATTCCGAACTCTTCAGCTATACTGGTCACACTTCGCCCCTACTCCAGATTTTCGATCATTCTTCCACGTGTGAAGTCATCCAGATCATTTCTTCTAGTCCAATTATTTCACGAAAGAACTCCTTGTACTTGCAGCGAATGTCTTTAATTGCGTCTCCATCCTTCCTTTTATGGTAGTCTCGAGTTGAGCGCGCCGACCGTACGCGTTTTGCGTACGCTCACGTAGCTTGTGACGTTGTTTTCTTGGACATTTGTATACGCACGACCTTTCTACTGAATTTCGTGTTCATTGTACTGAACGCAAGAACCCCTTTTCTACAATTTAATGGCTATCTGATTAAAATTTACATTGTTGCTTAAGTTTTGCACACCAGTGTAAAACGCCGACTTATACTTAGACCTTGTTTTATCTTTTATCACAGAACTTAAGAAGGTTTCCGTAGAGATAGACTGTTATGGATATCTGATATAGCTCCAGCACTTTTAAGCGCTGTAAAGGATCAGTAGATTTGGTGTCCCGTGTAAATTAAACGTATTAAGTATTCAAAGCTAAATATAAGTGTATTTACTTGCCGCTTCTGATAACAACTTAGCTGGGGCCCTAAATTTAGTCTATATTGGCGTCAGCCCTTAATGAACACTAGAGAATATTTATATGATTTGAGTTAGACTAAAAACGGCAGCTATAAACAACACACATCTGGTGTTACCTTTAGCCTACGTAGCTGCGTTTTAGAGCAACAAGAGTTTCGCAATCAGCACGAAACTTGCCGAGATGGTGCTCTTCTTAAAAGCGAACAATGATCCTAATGTAGAAGCATCCTATCAGCCCATTTGCCTCCTGCCTTCTATGGGAAAGTACTAGAGAGAGTTGTTCTTCAAAGACTGATACACTATATCCTCTCTGGATAAAATGTAAGTGAAAAACCAATGCAGCTTCTTTCCTGGCAGATCGGTGGATGATGTGTTGCCACACTTTCTAAATATGATAGTAAATAGAGAGCAAATAAGCACAGTCCCGTTATCTCAGTAAATATGTAGAACGCCTTCGATCATTATAGTGGCCCGACATACTCAAGAGTTTACAGGACGTGTGTACCAAAGATCCCTTTCTATTGACCTAGATAAATTCATGAATAGCTTTACAAGCCACCCAACGGATCTATCGTTGTACACTCACGATCTATCAATAGAGGTTGTCCTCAAGGATCTGGTCTGGGTCTGCTCTATATGAACAACGCTGGAAATATTCACACTTTTGCGGTGACATTTTTGCCAGTTTTTATAGGGCACAGCCATAGCAAATGGACTAATGACCTAATATTCCTATCAAATGCTAAGGTATCCTTTCCGCCCAGGTAATCGACCTTGACATGACATCTGGAATCTGGAATCCATTCCAATTCAACAAACCAACAAAAATCCTTGCTGAACATGATTTGATTTTTTACAATCTGCAAACTTGAATGTATAGCCATTCTTTTATATTTTTCAGCTTTTTGCTTTCAGAGTTACACATTGACTATTTTGAATAAGATTGGGTATCCTGTTATTAGATTGTGCTGTATTAATTTAATTGCCCTTCCCTAACATAGTTATTAATTTCTCGCTAGCTGTAGGAAGATAATTTCAAAGAATTACATGTTCTAGAATATTTGCTATAGTATTGATGACGTATATTGTTATATCATAAATTACTTATTTAATTATTTTGATAACTATAGATCAAATTACAAATCAACTCAAAATTTCTCAAATAGTACAGAGTTTTAGGATTTAAAGTGAAGAAAAAGTCATTTTAGAAAAACCTTTTTTAAAAGGTTTTTCTACTCTCAATTGTCCGGGGCCCTGCGGAAGAACGTCACAGATTAGATTATTGAAAAAAAAAAAAAAAAAAAAAAAACGGATTATCCAAGCTATCAATTTTCATGCATAATGTATACGTTTATCTCTTAAAATAGATTAATTTTACTTTGTTTCTCAGAATATTTAAATATTTATAGAATTTTACTGCGTATTTTTTTTTCGAAGTGCTATTTGGTCGACGAAGTCCAATAGAGTTTCAACAGAAATCAATGCCGTCTCTAGGATAATGTGATTTATTGTGTCTTCTTCACTTGTATTTTCAGTACCACTCTTTGCCTCTTCTGCTCTTGTGACATTTGAAACGACATCCGCATCACTCAAGCGCTGAAAGCCCTGCTCAGTTGAACCGCCATCGAACAATCGCCTCGATGTTTTTCCAATCGACATTTTCGAAGAATTTACATTTCCAATTTTTTGATATACAGCTTCAGTTATTGCCTCGATTTCTTCACAATTAGATAAATCTACGATTACTATATTAGAAAGAATTTCCATGATCGGGCTTGCCCCTATTTACTCTTTACTCACTCTCGCTCGTAGTGTTGAGTGTGCGTACGTGGACACTATCACGCACGGATAATCCGCAAATCCGATAATCGAAAATACACCGTGTAATGAACACTCTCGTAACGACCATCTCTCAAAAACAGTCCCATTAGAAGTTACAGGTATTTCTAAGAACCAAAATGTGTTTTGTAGCTGGAAATGGTATTTTAATTTTCTGACGTTATTTTGAGGGTTCTGAAGCTTTTATTCAAAACATTGTTTTGATAATTTTTGTTCAAAACATTGTTTTGATAATTTTACTTTCAAAAGTTGTGAAATCTCTTCCTATTAGGTTTGATTTTTAGCCTCACGTTTCTAGTACGAAGTTATAAAATATCTTTTAAAAAAAGCTATTTGCGAAGAGAATAATTAGTAGTACACTTTATATCTTCACATGACAGAAAAAGTACGATCATCTAAATTTGGTCTGGTGAGTCTCATAAGCATTTGTTTTCATGTGTATATTTGATAATTATTATGCTTTTATTTCATAACTCAGCACAACCTTCTTCGCTTAGTATAAAAACGTGTTGAAAAGAAAAATGAAAGTCACTGGCTGATTGAAAAGTCCCAATAAACTTAGTGATTTGGTAAGATAGCAAACTTATTTGAGATGTTTGTGGAATCATTAGGATTTTTCTGAAGTGGGAGACTTGAAAAATTAGCAATGCCCTCGCCGGAGCTCGAACCTGAACCTCTCAAATACGCGTCGAGTGTGCTACCGTTACACCAAGGAGGCATGCAGAAAGGAGGGAGAAAATACCTTATCTACTCCCCCTTTCAAAGGGTCTCTGGGGATTAGGAGATCCAGCCGCCAAGTCCTGGTGGGGAAGAATCATCATCCACCACCTTTTTAGTTTGGGCGCCCCTGTAGAGTTCTTGTTTTTTAAGCAAGATTCATGAAAAATGAAGAATGCCCAGGCCGGGACTCGAAGCTGAACATCTGGAATACGCGCCGAGTGTGCTACCGTTACACCACGAGTGCATGCAGAAAGGAGAGAGAAAGTACCTTACATGTTTTATGTGTGAAAAAAGCTATGAGAACATATTACGCCAGAAGTTATAGACTGACCATAAATTTACCAGGGATTAAAGAGAGGATGAGGATTTCTTATCTCATGAAGGTTGGAATACATGAAGGTTGTGAATACATGAAGGTTGTGAATACTTATACATGAAGGTTGTGAATTTTTTAGTGTGATGGTATATAACTTCCAATATTTGCTTGTTAACAAGTTTGACGTCGCAGTATTAAAAATTCGCTGTGTATACAACGGAGCTCCATGTACTGACACAGGTAAACATTTTTTTGGCAAGTTTTCGTGACAGTCTGCAATCCTTCGTCAACTTCCATGCGACTTTTATACTCTGCGTTTTGTCGTCATCATGAACTTTTCTCCTTTCTCAGTGCATGTGCGATTGATTAGTCGTCATCGGGAGACAGTGTGACGGGTATTGTCTACATCCATCCAATTTTCTCCCTCTCTTCACTAAAATTAACCTTCTTCAAACGCGAAACTAAGTTCAAGGTATAAGAGGTGTTGAAAACAAGAGAAGTTTCGTCACTTATCATCTGTGTACATGATCATAGCCCACAGTTTTACGCCAACAGCGATGTAAAGCAATGATCTTCATACCTCATACTGTACGGTGAATTGTTTCTAAAAATCATGGACGTTCTCTTAAAATTCATACATCGATGCATAAAAAGGGATTCGATACATAAAAAGGGATATCGGGTATTTCAAAGCTAAGAAATCACAATTTTTCATTTTCTCAACCTGCGTATCAAGACATTTGATTTAATGTATCAAGTGACTTTGTGTATGAAGACATTTGATCATCATTTGATTTAGTGAATCAAGTGATTTTGTGTATCAAGACATTTGATCATCATTTTAGTGTATCAAGTGATTTTTGTGTATCAAGACATTTGATCATCATTTGATTTAGTGAATCAAGTGATTTTGCGTATCAAGACATTTGATCATCATTTTAGTGTATCAAGTGATTTTTGTGTATCAAGACATTTCATCATTATTTGATTTAGCGTACATGGAGGAATGGCTCACAAGAACTTCGATTATAAGTACAGAAAAAAATCTAATAATCTGTAAGAGTTCGTTTACAAAATTTATCACTAAAACTTACCAGTCATGCTGAGTATTTAGAAAATATACTTAGGAAATAAAATTTTACCTGTCAGGAAGTCAAAAATGGCCATGTCAATCATATCGTACAACCTCCTGCCTTTGTTGTACGGTGGGGTTCTCTTTACATAATTTGTACAATATTCATGATTGGTTTCCCAGGAAGCTTTACGATGCTTGTTATACGACCTACGCCAAGGGCTTCGTGCAGGTTTGCTGTGAAGAACTTCTTTGCCTGGCAACCATGCAGCAAAACTACCTTCCAGCATGTCAGGGTGACCACATACTGCGTGTCCAGTATCACAATAATATGTACACTGGCCGTGGAAGCAAATATTTCCAGCTATGAAAGAGACATTATTGAATAATTTGAATAACAGAAATGCCTTTATATTACTAAAGTAAATACAGGAATTATGAAAAACAAATTTTCATGAAAGAAATTGAAATCAACTTTTTATGAAACTACAACTCTATTGAAATCAGTCACAAAAATAACGTTAACCAGACGGATTGTTCCATGCTTACGGATGCGAAATTGATTGAATACACACAGCTCCGATGAGAGGTAGAAAAAATTTATTTTATCGAAAGAAACACTTCAGAGATCTGGGACTTTCCGCAGAAACAGTCGTACCACTTTTCACAATGTCACAGAGTACAATCATTAGTTACACTTCAAATTACTATGAACGTTAAACACAACGCAGTGCTAAGAGCAGCTAAAGAGAAAGCTACCCGGAGATATCTCAGTACTCCGAACTCACACTGAGCTAACACCTAACAACAACTACTCAGAGCAGATGATCTCTCCGGCCTTATATACTTTTCACCCGGTCGTCGATATATTTCTAGTACTTTCTGCTTTTCGAAATTACTGGAAGGCAACGTCAGGGCTGAATTACACTTACAGCTAATACAGAGATCAATTACAATATCTAACGCGGTGATACAGGGACCGGATCAAACTGTCGCGGAATGGTCGCTAAGTTTAGCGACTTTTGGCGCTTGCAAGTCACTTTTGGCGACAAAAATTAGTCGCCAGAACCGTCGCCAGCTTGGCGAAATCTCGCCAAGGTATATAACCGAGATACACATTAACTCAATGTTAAATAGACTTGCCCCTGTATTCTTACCTTTCTGGCATGGATTCTCTCTCTAGTTTTTTTTTATGCTACTTCAAGAGGTTATCAAGAGGTAGAGTTTATGCGGCGTATCCAGTATCGGGATCAGGGAAAGAAGGATCAACTACGGGACTACATGTTTAGGTGTATTGTGTATGTGTATGTGCATTGTGTATGTATATGTGTATGTGTATCTGCATTGTGTATGTGCAGCAGTCATTCGACGGCTAACGGTAGCCAAGAACCCACGAAGCGATACTTTTGTTGTTTTCGTAACGTACGCTTGCAGCATTGTTTTGGGTGACAGCCATCTTGAAACCATTGCTTCTTGGTGCCATTTTTTGTGTCGTAAAAATTGCCAAAACTATCAAGGGGTACCCGATACTTAACTTTTATTAATAGATGAATAAATAAAATAAAAAATAGTAATAAAAATTAATTAACATATTCAATAACGGTTTTTAAGTTGAAATAAACTCAGAAGTCTTGGCGTATAAAATTTCGAAGTCGTGAGTACACAGTTAATAGAGTCAAGAATACTGAAATACAAACCTGGAGAAACAAAAAATGTTTTCAGGAACTCTTCATCTGCAAAAGGGTAGATCTCTTCAGTAATATTAACTATCCTGCCCACCACAGGGGGCGCTCTACGGTATCCTAGTAACCTAAAAGTAAAGTGGTTGTTAAAAGAAGAAGTAAAATGCTTATACAGTGAAACCTCGAGATAGGAGCACCTCTATATACGAGAAATTCGAGATACGAGGAAAGTATGAGCGAAATATTTGTCTGTAAATATGAGCATTGATTCGAGTAACGAGCAATGAAACAAGCTTTTGGTGTTCGTGGCTCCATTTCCTGATCCGGCTCGACTCGGGGAATCCCCTCGTCAGATCACTCGGTACTCTTTGATTTACGTGTTTGTGCGCTTTTGAGTCAATTCTTTATTACGCTTAATGTGAAAATAGTCCTTTCACGATATCTCCTAAGACGATTCTTGCCTCAGATGGTGCTGCAAAGGAATATAAGGAAGCCATGGCCGTTGAAATTAAGGAAGAAATCATAGATAAACAAGCGTGGTGTAAGAGTGACGGAATTGGCGAAGACTTACGCCTTTCGGCCTCAACGATTTGCTCTGTTCTGAAGAAGCAGGGAGAAATTGAGAAACTTGATATAGCCAAAGGAGTTACCGTTACTTCTAAGCACCATCCAAAACTCCTAGAAAAGGTTGGGATAGATTAACAAGAAGCAGTTAAAAGATCGGTGTCGAAAGCTTTCATAAGGGTAAACTACGGTTATATTATTTACCAGTGTTATTTATTAGAAAAATTGATTTTTATGTTAATATTTTTCGGGGTGCGGATCAGATTAACTGGATTTTCATCATTTTCAATGGGGAAGTTTGTTTCTAGATCAGAGAAATTTGCTATACGAGCTCAATGTTGGAACGAATTAAAATCGTATCTCGAGGTTCCACTGTAAAATGAAAAAAAAAGAATAACGAGCCCGTTTCATAACGGTAGCCCGGCTTTGACTACTTTGACGTACTTTTTTTTTTTTTTTTTTTTTCAACAGTGACTGCAAATTGGTCACTGTTGAAAATAAAAAAAACTGAAAACTTCATAAAGGTGCCGAGCTTGAAAGTGCCAGCACTATTTTTTTTAAGTTAGAAATTGATCTGCGTAAAAGGCACAGTCACCTTTGTGCCGGGGTACCTTTAAAGAAGATGCCACTATTATAGAAGAAAGTATCATTATTACTTGCCGCTTTCATTAGAAAGCCCCATTCATACTAATAAAGAAATGTAATCATTTGCAACTCATAAAGGAAACAGTACATTCTTTAGAATAAATAAATTACAAATAAATAATGATTGTTGGAAAAATTAGTAGTAATTAGTATGCTACAAATTAAAATTTTAGAAAAATTATGTCATTATAAATTTATTAATGTCTTTTTGTTTTAGATAGCATTAAAATAGTAAAAAGTAATTAGATAGCATTAAAATATTAAAAAGTAATTGGATAGCATTAAAATAGTAAAAAGTAATTAGATAGCATTAAAATATTAAAAAGTAATTGGATAGCATTAAAATATTAAAAAGTAATTGGATAGCATTAAAATATTAAAAAGTAATTAGATAGCATTAAAATATTAAAAAGTAATTAGATAGCATTAAAACATTAAAAAGTAAATGCTAATCTGCAACTAACTTGTCTAGGTGATAAGAGGCAATCTCACTATGGTGACGCTCAAAGTCTGTAAAATAAAAATGGTCTGGCAATGTCTCTTGGTCCCTTGGAAACCTAAAATATATCATATAATAACATTTAATGTAATATACCTTAATAAATTAAATGTATAGAATTCAGTGATCGAATGTAAGATTAATGGATGATAGCAAATGACACAAATACTTTATTTGAAATTATTTTTATTTCTGATACAATACAGATGATTATTTTAACAAAGGAATATACGGAGGAACAAGGGTTAGATGTGTGTGTGTGTGTAATTATGGCAAAGCCTCAAGGGCTATCTGCCTAAGAGGAGGGATGCTTTCGTGGAGGACTTTCTAAGGGAAACTGGCTCGTATACACGTTACACATGGGGAAAACCACGAAAACGCCCATGCAGCCAGCCCGTTCGCGGGATTCGAACCTCGGACCGAACTACCAGTGTTCAGCGATTTTACCACTCGGCCGCTGGTGGGCGGAACAAGGGTTAGAGATACAGTAGCAAAAAAAGAATCCAACATATCGCATGTAAATTTGCAAGACTAGTTTCGAGAGTTATTAGAACCTTCTTCTTCAGCTGCAGCCGAAAGAGGTTTTTCACTTCGTATGATTGAGCAAGCGGCTGAAAATTTTCACATCAACTCTATGAAAACTATGCCCTTGTTTTGAGGGATAATAAGAATTCCGTTGTCGTTCCTTTTCATTTACTTGTACGAAGTGAAGGAAGTTTTATAATCTCAAAAAATTTTGGGTATTATAGTTCAACGGAAATATCCATTTTCCATTTCATTCCGGAATCTATTTTTATATTTTTTCCCGTGACGTCTGTACGCACGGATAAAATAAAAGAGTCTGTTTTCCAAAACGTATTATAAAATGGATTTAAAACGTCTGTACGTATGTACACTGCGGAGAGGGGGGGGGAAGGGATAGTCCTGTATTTCCCGTTCTTGAGGGCCGATTGACTAAATTCAAATTGCGTTTTCATGTTTTGAACACCCGACTTAGGATATATATTAGATTTATATATAGCATTATTCTACCATAGGTATTTTGGCACAAAATCAGACTTTTTCTGAAATAACATATTTTTTTCCCATGTTTCGATTCTACGACTCAAATTATGCCTGGAATTTTGTAATTTTTGGTGAGAAATTAAAAAATTTTCATTGGCGCATTTTTTTCAGTTTGCGCCAAGAATAATTCAATTGGCGGAATTTTTAATTTATACAAACGTACTTACTTTTCTTTTCTTTCATTGATGTACAAGAGGAAAAAAAGATATATCGTTCATCCTTTCAAATAATGTTAGCAAAGCTACATTTTCGTTACTATCGCTTATATTAAATACGTTAAATTTCAAAATGCGCCAAAATGCAAATTCACATGTATCTTAGGAATTTTGAAGAAAAACTGTAATTTTTTCAGATATGCTTAGAAAGACATCTACTTTAGATGATGGTAAACATTTTATAATACAAAAATGTTTTCGAAAAATTTATAAAATTTATTTAAAAATACAAATTTAAATTGGATTAAGCCTAAATTTCGAATTCTGGAAGAAGGAATCAAGTAAGTTTAATAAAAAAAGAGAGATTAATAAATATATACCCAACTCAATAACATTGAGGAGCTAAAATTTTAAGAGCTAATTTTTTAAAAACTATTAATGCGTTTTTTACAAAACTTGGCAGTTTTTCATAATTTGAGTCGTAGAATCGAAATATGAAAAAAAAAAAAAAAAAAAAAAAAAAAAAAAAAAAAAATTGGCATGTCATCAAACAAAGTCCGATATCAAAATGCCTGTATTAGAACAGTGCTATATGTAAATCTCATACGGATCCTAAGGCGCGTTTTTGAGACATGAAAAACGCAAATTGAATTTAGTCAATCGGCTGAGTATGTGGGAGATATAGGACTGTGCCATTTTTTCCCGCAGTGTACCATAATTAAGTAACCTTGTCCTAAACCGTTTCTTATTCTTACAAATCTTTCAGCTTTCAGCTTAATTATGTCACAGCTGCTTTCAGCCTTGTCAACAGATGTCGCCAGCTACTTTGCTTTCTCTTCCGTAGCTGAAGCTTTCTGGAAATATTTGTGTATTGCTGTAGTGAACGCATGCAATTTTTCGCAGTTTTCATCTGCAACTGAAGAAAATGTCCTATTTGAGCTTTGAAACTATAGCTCTGCAAATTTATGCATGTCAGCCGTATTCTTGTAGCTATAATATTTTAACATTGTTACTATCTTTATTATTTTGATTTTCATTATTAATACCAAAGGCGTGAAATTTGCTTTTGTCATTTGAAAATGTAAATATCAAAACTGAAAGTGAATCATTTGGAAATGTAAATATCAAAACTGAAAATGAATCATTTAAAAATGTAAATATAAAACTGAAAGTGAATCATTTGAAAATGTAAATATCAAAACTGAAAGTGAATCATTTAAAAATGTAAATATCAAAACTGAAATTGAATCATTTGAAAATGTAAACATCAAAACTGAAAGTGAATCATTTGAAAATGTAAACATCAAAACTGAAAGTGAATCATTTGAAAAACTAAAAGCCATTTCCGATGCTGACCGAAGAGTTACCTGATCCCATTCCTGAGATGAGTATTTTTAGAATAGAAGAAAGTTATAATTCTTCAACCACTTCAACTCTTCTAGTAAACAAAATTAAATATTATGAAGTTATAATAGTGCCTGAGGAAATTCATGTATTTAGTTTCCTATCAACTTTCCGAGAACCTCAACAAGAGTTACAGAGGTGACCAGTGAGGTAAAGGCAAGTGGATAAGACCTCAATTACTATGATATATGGTAAGACAATGAGGTTTTATAATGGAATATATTCACATTCACTGAATGGCGTTCATAATAATTCTTCATAAATGAGTCAGCTAACGAAACCGTGTAACTAACCGTAACTAGCAAATTATCAGGGAAAAAGTAAACGTATCTGGGTGAGAACATTTTTTGAGCATAACGAGGCGTGATTATAGAATATAAGTAGTAGGCAACTTAAAATTTTAAGCATAATTCGTATGAAAACAGTACGGAATGTCGTAACGCAGAGAGACGTAACTGATGTTAGCAGTAGTGAACTTTTAGTTGATTTCAGTGGCGCCATCGTTTGGTGAACACAGTGGTGACAGAACTTAACAAGTCTTTAAAAAAATTTTGTAGTAAACAAACATTAGTAGAAGAGCAAGTTCTTTCAATTTCGGTGCTTTTTAGGTGCATAAAGTCTTTCGAGAACGATAAGAGTCTTTAAAGAACGATAAGAGTCTTTTGTACAGGGAAACAACATTTTGTGCGTGGCAGGACTAGATTAAATAAAATAAAATGAATTCTTGGCTAAATAAGTTGTAAAAATGTGCGAAAAACATTAAAAATAGTGAATATTTACAAATACAATGATCCGTGCTTTCTGGATGAAATTATTTTATAAGAATGGTGACTTATATGTAACTTTATGGTGACTTATGTGTGACTTTAATCAATACTAGATTGATGAAGACTCAGGTGAGTTGCATGTGAAGCTATTGCATAGTACAAAAGTTGCAGTACAGTGTGCTTACAGTTTTATTACATGTATTATTGAACCATATTTTTTCGTAGACGATAGAGGAAATACCTCAACTGTTAATGCAGACCGCTACATGCAGGGTCAGAGCATTTTTCATGTAACAGCTTCTTAGGTTTTTCGGAAAATTAACTTTTTCCAGCAGGATGGGGCCATAAATCATACTCCTCATGTGTCCGTGGATGCTTTAAAAGAACTCTTCCCGCACGGATTCATATCCAGGTACTTTGTGGTCTACAATATGCCCAAGATTTGTCCGCATGCGACTGTTTTTCTTTGAAGAAAGCAGGATGTACATTTATAAACCGCAAACCATACTGGAATTCAAAACGAATATCAGACAAGAAATTGCACATATTCAACCTGATTTGCTTCGTTGAGTGATGACAAATTTTCCGAAGAATTCGAATTCAAAGAATAATTTTAGAGAAATATCCCCATTTTAAGCGGTGTTATTTTTAACAATTAAAACAACATAGCTAAACTTTAAAAAAAAAAAAAAAAAAAAAAAAAAAAATCTACATGTTTCATATCTGGCCAACTTCTGTGTTTTAATTTGTATTTTTAAACCATTGAATAGTAGAAATAATTTCAATAATTCTTCTCCATTGGCGTGCTATCATCGATTTCTCATATGTGATGCAAGATTCATTGCATAAAAATCGTGAGCGACTTTCGTTAGAAATGTTTTGATGTTTTTCATCGTTTCTAAAATATCAGATTGGAAACTGTCTAGATGACAGTGAGAAGATATTTCGCAAAAGAGAATTGAAAGCATTTTTCATTTCTAAAAATTCATTTGCTTTTCGTCGTATATATGTTATGAAAATAGTTATTACTAGATGGCGATACTAGCGCAAAAAATTCGATTTAGTCTTTTGCCTCTCATAATGGATGTCAAACAATGATTTACATAGATTAACGAAATACCTGTAGGAAAAGAGGAAACATTAGTAATGATAAATAAAGTTATAGAAAGTATTCTATGAATTGTAAGCAAATTTTTAGAAATCAATTAAGTAAATATAAAAAAGAAATTTACTGTTTAAAAGCATTACTTGCCAGTAGATGGCGTCACAAAAAATTGTAGGTTGAAAAATGCTGCCCTAACATAAAATTAAAGTATCTTCTTTGATAGCCATATTCAGAAAATTTTATCATTAATATTAAACATTTTTCACTTATATATTTAATTTTCGTCGTTGTCACTGTAAAACATAGAGAATGCTTAGGATTTGAGACATTTCATTTTTAATGAAAAGCGAAATGACCAGTTTGCTTGAATTTTTCGTTAACGAGCGAAATGTTTGAAAATTTCAAAGTTATAAATTTAAGAATTGCTGGAGAAAAGGTGAAAAGTTACACAAGAAAAGAGAATCTGTTTCCGCAATCATTTGTAAAACGAAATTTAATTAAAATACAAAAAAGAAAAATACTTTAAAAAATTTAAAATTAAAATGCAGTAAAGCGTACTTTT